TCTCTCTCTCTCTCTCTCACACACACACACACACACACACACACACACACACACACACACGAGACACACCCAGTTCCTGTAATCGTTCTGCACACATGCAGATGGCTGTGTACTGGTCTTCTATTCCATATTATCTCCTCCTCTGTATAATCATGATAGTTTTCTACTTGACCATGGTAGTTCAAGTCTCTCTTAATTTCTAGTCTTCGCCTCATTCAAACTCCCTGCCCTCTTTGGTTACCTCCTCCGAGTTCCCCCATCCCAAACCAGTTGCTTTGCTGGGCTTTGAAACGGGACTCGTGTAAAGACAAGACAACAACGAAATAGCGGGAGTAGCTCATGTTGACGCAGAAGTCCTCGCTCCCCCCCCCCCAAAGAAAGGCTCCGACCACCCGAGATTCCTCCGAAGAGGGCATCTCGTCCAGACTCCGGTTGCTTCCCCCTCTCTGGTACCCAAAGCACCAGATGAAAAACCCCGAGACCAGGATGCAAAGGTGAGTCTCAGCCAGCGTGGGAGCCTCTGGCAAGGGCGGCAAGCACTGCCTGGCAGACAGGAGCCAGTCAGCCTTGGCAGGAGCCAGTCAGCCTTGGCAGGAGCTGAGCCAATAAACACACGAGAGAGTACCAATCAGAGGATGCTGCTGCTAATAAACCGCGATAAACAAAACCTGTCGGCCAGCCAGTCCCACCCATTCTCAACTAATGGCATCGTTCACCCTATGCAACCGGGGAGGGGGGAATGGGCATGGTCAGAAGGCCTGATTAAAAGAGACCCTTCCCCGTCTTGAACCTCGCCTTTTGGCTGGGAGGGTTGCAGTTGCACTGTGTTACAAGAAGTTGACAAAAGGCCACCGAAGACCCGTGACTCCATAGTGCCCTGCCTCCTGCTTCGGCCCCCTGCTTGGCAGGCTCGCCCGTGGCTGAATTCTTCCCTTCCAACGGGCCAGGCTGGATCAAGCAAAGGTTTGACTATGTCCCAGGTTGGTCGTAGACCCAATAGAAGAGAATAGCTGGGAATCTTGAGCGCTCTCTTAAGCTTGGTAGTTTCTTTGCAGGCGTTTCATAACCCAGGTAGCTGACATCATCAGCGTTGAGGTTAACTAGTTGGGTGTTCTGATCATATAGGAAGGTCGCTGCGGACTTGATTTAGAGCAGGGGTCCCCAAACCTGGCAACTTTAAGACTTGTGGACTTCAATTCTGGGAGTTGAAGTCCACAAGTCTTAAAGTTGCCAAGTTTGAAGACCTCTGATTTAGAGCAACTACTATCGAATGTCAACAAGGTACGGTCGAAATCATCAAGGTGGCGAGCCCCGTTTTCAACTTTGCGCTATCCAGAGGAACCGGGGTTCATATCAAAAGCCTTGTAGCCAGGCTACAAGCCACGTTGGGCTTTGGAATGGGATCTGGCGGGCGCTATAGGAGGCAATTCCCCAAGTAGAGAGCCCTGGGCGTTCTTTGAGCTGGGTTGTTTTCGTGCAAACATTTCATTACCTGCTGCTGGCTAGGTAACCTCTTCGGTGCTCTGAGCATTCAAACTTCAGCGCTGAAGTACGAAAAGAAAGGACCAAGCGCAGAGAGCGTAAACCAGTGTTTCTCAACCTTGGCAACTTGAAGATGTCCGGACTTCAACTCCCAGAATTCCCCAGGGGAATTCTGGGAGTTGAAGTCCGGACATCTTCAAGTTGCCAAGGTTGAGA